ATAAATTCTTACTAACTAAATCAGCCGTTTGAAAACAAACCAGGACATCTTGATTCAAATCCAGACAAACACCAGAACTCATGCACAGACATGTCTCTTCAGTGGCATATCAGAAATAAAACAGGCTACTTCAGCTCACATTGTGTTACACATACCTCTCACCTCAGTATACCACGTATACTGTGCTGTGTAAGAGACACCAAATTTCACAGTGCCTGCATGTAAGAAGTTATCAATGTAAAACAGCAAAGTTAAGGAGAAAACTACCTGCAGAAGCACTTAGATACTGATACCTCTTTGGGTTATGACCATTAAAATTACCTCCCTTAATTATCCATACAAAAAGTAGCAGCACTGCAAAAGAAAAATAAGCACAGAAATTTTCACCTTACACTGTATTTAGAGCAATGAAATACAGACAAGAGGAACCAAGACGTGGAAATAGAAATACCAGTTCAGAATATACAGATTTTAAAGCAAAGTGCAAGTAACCAAGCTTTTCAAATCTGTCAAGCTAGAAAATGTCGTATTAAACATACACAATTCCCCTTGCAAAGCTCACTGGAGTGACCACGTATCCAGAGAAGAGACAGAAAGCTTGTCATTTGAGAAGACTGTATGTCAAACTTGGAGCCTGCTGTTAAACTACCATACCCAAGCTTGGTGAAAAAGCAGCCAGATGGCTTAGGCTAGCTGTACCAGCATCCCAAACCTGAAACCAACACATCGTCATCTCATACCCTACACGCTACTGCTTTCAGTCAACCTGCACCGTGAGCTTACCTTTACTCACAGGTGTTAGGATGTTTGTTTCTTAACAAAGATTGTCTGTGAAAGAAAACCAATTAAATGTTGTCTCTAACCACTAGGTGTCAGCAGAAGAAAGTGCACGGTCAACACCTTTGATGTAGAAAATGTGAGTCTCACTCCCCCCCCTTACCAATATACACACAACTATTAAGTACTACAAACCACCTTTACACACATGTAGTAATTCTACAGCTATTTCTGTTGAAGATGACCTAATTTTGTGAATTGAATATTTAGAAGATGATATAAACATTCCCTCTGCAAACAGCAAAAAATCAGGAGTTTAGAAAAAAGTAATTCAAGTGAACAAAATGCTCACATTGGTGTCACTGTTAAAAATTTAAGTAATATTCGTAAAGATAACAATATGCCTCAACACAGCCAAGGAAACACACTGCTTCTAATGTGTTTTACTGTACTTAATAGCAACAGAGGTTTGTGGAGACTGTAAGTATATCACATGTAACAGATACTCTTCCATACTTAAAATCTGGCCTCGTGCAACTGCAGAAAACACATATACACAGTAGGAAACATAACTGAATGAGTTATTTTGTTACCTAAATCTTATGATTAGACTTGCAGACTGTATTATCTGGATATGTTTTTTCATGCAAAAGTTCTAGTTAGTGAAGGCCTCAGAAAGTTTACAGCAACAGTAACTCATTCATCATCGGTATACTGGTTCGTATATACATTACATAACCTTGTGTCTTTAGAGTAAAAGCTTCTGAACAGAATTAAGAGCTCTTACTGTGCTTAAGTATAATGTGAATTCAAAGTCTGCTCTGTGACACATTCTGGGCCTACACAGAATAATGAAAAACAGCTTCACACCATTTATCCCGAAAAGTCAACTCATACCAGATGAGATGGTCTATGAAATTAAATTGTATTCTGAGACAAAAACTATGAAAGGAGGAAAAGCTGCTGCTTCTTTGAATTTATTTCCTAATTATCAATGATTTTAAATGAACAGTCAGATTTCTTGAGTTATGGACCAAATGCAAAGAACCACATCATGTTCGGTATTGCTTATGCCCCATATTTATGACATGTGAAGGTGATAAGAGAAAAAAAACCCACAATGAAGGTATTTGAAAATATGTTCTTTTCCTAGAAGCTATTTCTTCCATTTACTTTTCTATTTGTCTCGGACACATCAAAATGATTTTATTTGCAACAGTTACACCAGTAACAGTTTTAAAATAATTTTTTCTAAACTGACATTAAAATTTTAAAGCAAATTATGACAGCCACTGTGGTCTTTGTGGATTCTGATACATCAATGGAGAGCAATTCAAGAGTTGCTGCATACACTTTAATATTTTTCCACTATTCAACAAGAAACTCCCATCATTCCGTATTTATATGAGAAGATGTGTATCATGACCACTTTGAACACCTGTCAGTATATAATCCACAAACTCAGCAAACTGAGCTAATCAGCTGACAGGAAATAATAATGAACATAATTGCTGTGTAGAAGATGGAATTATGTGAGAGTACAGAAGACTATTTCAAGTGCAGCATTCGAAGTACAGCACAAGAGAGAAACACAGGGCTTTAAATTGCAAGATGCCTTACTAATTGCCAGTTTAGATGCCTTGTTATTAAATTACAATCCCATTTTCTTCTGTGAACCTAGCAAGTACCTTCCCTAATTGTTCTACTCATTACACACTATTGTGTGGAGTTTTGCTGCATCTTCTTAAGGTCAGGTTTTCCAAGGGTTTTGAACTAATTTTTAAGTGTGATGTTCCTAACAGTAACAAGAGTCTCTCAGTAACTGCATTTACTGTTGGCATATTCTAAAACACAAGAGAAGTATAAAGTAGTTGTATGACCTGTCCAATACCTCACAGGACGTCTGTGGCAAAACTGGAAACAGAACGCAGGTCATTTGACTCTGACATGTTCAGCACATGAAACGCTTGCAAATTTTCTTTATCTAAAGCGTAATACTGAAATGTATAATCGGAAGTTAAATTTTTAATTTATAAAAGGATGTGGGAAAGAAAGCCCTGAAAATTTCCACTTCCTGATTATTAAAATCAGATTTTATGACATATTTGTGCAATTATGTTTACAAGTTTTCTTTGATGGAATGATAAGCAAACCAAACAATTTCTTCTACTTCCTCACGTTAGCTGTCCCTCGAAGTTGCACTTTCTAGGGGTGTGCCATTGTCAACTGATTTCAAATGCTCATCTTTAACATTCAGCCTTCAAAATACCAGATGGTATTTCCAGAAAAGCAATTTAAATTATTTTTCTTCATAAATCCCTTAACTAGTTAATCTCACACACACACCCAGGCAAAGCATACACCAATATTCCCAGAGTTGCCTGGCAACTACTGGGAGGAGCATCGGAGAACAAGGAAGCCTGCATGGATGAAGGGAAGTCAGTGTCTCCCCGACATGGATAAAGGAGGCTTACAGCCCGAGTGCTTTGCTGGTTTCGTTTTTGTTATTTGTATGGACAATATTTTAAATACCTCCCATTATTTCACTTTAGATGCTTTAAAAGCCCAATACTTACACCCAGACATACATACACAAGTCAATACAATTTATTTTTTCCACACACACGACACATGGATTCCCCCAGTAAGATGTGGAAGGACTCATGCTGACTTCAAAAGTCGTTTTTGAACCCTGAATATGAATTGTTGGAATGATGCTTATTGGATGGTGGTAACGGGACTGTTTAAAATGAGCTATTTTTTCCTTCTGGCTTTAAAAATATCAAGTAAGACAATCTATAGTACTGAAGAGACTTTAGTAACTGAAACATCCTCAACCTCAATAAACACTATGCCTGTAGTCCAACTCCCGGTCTTTTCCTTTAACATCATGATTAAAATTAGATTTATTACTTGTCTGCGTGCCAGATCTCTTCATTAATCTTCACAGAGCAGGAGAATGCAAAATACAACACCTTTTCTCTACTAGTAAGCCTTCATTCTCCCTCCACTCATTTAGCCTCCCAACTTACACTCAGAACTCATCTTAGCATCTCCCAGCAGTATTCAAGCTCTCCGTTGCTACCACCAATTTTCCGTTCTGCCTCCAAATGCTTGCAGATGAGAGAAGAAGGTATTAAGACAAAAGTATGTTTTGTCCTCCACAGAGTATCTTCTTGTTAAGCAGCCATATGTCTGAACAACAGTAGTTCAAATGAGCCCGTGAACACCGCATTGAGATTTATCACTGCATTTGACTTGCACATGTGTTAGTTTCCCCTGTTTCAGAAATAGGGAACATAGAATATTTTGGAAATATTCTGTGGATCACTCTGCAGTTAGTACTTTTCATCCCCCATATCTCTGGGACATATCTCATGAATTATACCTGAATGTTCCTCATACTATTTACCTTGTCTCTAGCTGTCCATCAGCAAAATGTACACCCTTTAAAAGGAACCCCCTAAGTATACGGTAGCAAAACCAGAGTGTCGCAAAACATGTGGAAATACATTAATTTGGCTGGACTGATTTGTATTTAAGTCCATGAAGCTACTTGCAGTAAGCCAGGAACAGATGCCTCACTAGAAGCAATAAAATCCAAGACCAAGTACAGAAAAATCCTTCCCCCACTCAGATGGCACTTAATCGTTGCTAAATAGAGATTAGCTCTGAACCAGAAGCAAGAGATTGAATTTCCCTAACAGAACATTTATCGTCAATAGTTACAACTCCAGACATTCTTCATATTTCTGTAAAAGCACAATTTCTTTACTAATTATGTTCTTAAACTCCATGATTCCATAAATTTGCATGTTTCACGGTTAAGCATATATTGTGTAAAAACTGTATCTTTTAATACCTTTAAAAATAATACAATGAATACCCAGGTTTTGCAGTGAGAGAAAATGGTCAACTCTGCACTAGCCTCCTATAATCATTAATTTATACTTTTTTATCATCTGTCTTCTAACTTAACTGTCTTCAAAAACAAGCAACACCCGTACCTTTCCATAAGAAGTTTTCTCCCCGTGTGATTGATCATGCTTTTTGCACCTCTTTCTTTTCTGGAGACTGGAACACTGTTTTCAGTACTAGTCAGCCAAAGAGCCACAATGCTGACCTTAGTAAAAGTAGGTTATACTACACTTTGAATTCTTGTTAGCTTTTTTCCTCACCACAGCTGCAGATTTACGTCTTATGCCTACTAACTTCCTACTTACAGGTTCAATTTTCAGGGCGTTTCTGTAGCTCCCAAAGAAAGATGCTTGTGCTTTTAGAAATGCTCTTGCAACACCATCTCCAGTGGTCGTAGAGACTTTCTTCAATCTGTTCTTCAGTGCAGAAACCTGAAATAACACAACAGGTCTAGATCACGCTCATATCACAAACAAAGCTTAACACATTGGGGCACAGCTAAATGAAAAATGTGCTAACCACAGCAGCAGTTATGACAAAAAGTGACATTGTGAATTCAGAGTTGAATTTTTCAGTTCTAAAAGCATTACTTTTCAAGCCGTTTTGCTTCTCCAAGATATGATTGGATTCTATTCAGAAACCAATAGGAAAATAAAGCTTCATTTCAACCTTCCCTCCGTTAACATGCTGTTGCGTACTCTTTTAAAGGTAGTCCATGAAGTTCTGCGTCATTCTTTATTAGAATCCATGAAAGAATTTCAGCTAAATTAATTCAAATGTCAGACTAATAGAGAAACTGTTCTGCATAATCAGGCCATCCATCACCACCAAGGTTAAGAACAAATTCTGTAAGTCTGAAAACTTTGTTTGCCACAAATACAAGTTTTCTTTTTCTTTTAAGGTTATATTCCCTTGTATTTCAGAGACTTAATGGAAAATAACAAAATTAGAATTTTATTTATGCATATGGTGGGTTCCCTTGGGTGGGTCCCAGACACCCACCCAGCCGCTCTCTCACTCCCCCTCTGCAGCAGGACTCGGGGAGAAAACACGAAGAAAAAGCTCGTGGGCTGAGATAAAGACAGGGAGATCACTTACCAATTAGCATCACGGGCAAAACAGACTCCACTTAGGAAAATTAATTTAATTTATTGCCAATTAAAATAGAGTTGGATGGTGAGAAACAAAGACAGAAACTAAAACACCTTCCCCCCCTCCCAGCCTTTGTCTCAGCTCAACTTCCCCCTTCCATTCCCAACTCCTCTACCTCCTCCCTGAGCAGCGCAGGGCGACGGCAAAGGGGGTCGCGGTCAGTCCGTAACAGTTCTTCTCTGCCACGCCTTCCTCCTCACACTTTCACTCACTCCTCACTCTGCCGTGTGGCATTTTGCCCTTTCTTACCTATGCTTTCACAGAGGCACCGCCAGCTTTGCTGACAGGCTCAGCTGTGCCGGGCGGGGTCTGCTGCAGAGCCGGCTGGAACCGGCTGGTGCTGGCTGTGTCCTGCACTGGCCGCCCCGGCCTCTCCTCACAGAGGCCCTGCCGCCTCCCTGCCAGTGCCTCACCACGGACACCCAATGCAATCCAGAAAACAAAACCTGCAGTTTCTTTAAAAGTCTCAAATTAACAATGACATTCTGTCCTTCAAAATGGTCAATATCTACTGAAGTTTTTTTTCTTCCTGTTTCTCAAGAGATCTAAACCACCTGTGCACAGGATGGCTCTTCTCTTAACCCTCACTGCCCTCTCCCTTCCACTGTGGAGGTGTTCAATTACCTCAGGATTCACAGAGCTGCACTTTAGGCAAACACCGCCCTAACGGTCTCCTTACCATTTACAGAGACACTTACTGATCACAACTTAGCAAATATCAACTAAACACATTTCTATGCAGGCAGAGTTAAAACTACCATGATCCAGGTTACCTTAATATTCTTTGTTTTCTGTGTATATCAAGGGCTTAAGTTTTAGAGGATTATCCATTACTGTTCTCTGTGCTTCACAACTTCTCACACACACAAGAAGGTTGTGACTTAGTTTGATGTCTCTTTTCTAGTGCTTAAAGCTCAGTAACTACTGAAGTAAGGTTGTGTATCTGTATGTTATTGTTAGCGACAGTGTTTTTCCTTCCCAAACACAAGCTGGGAAAGGAGATAAAAAAACCTTTCAAAGATTAACATCAAACTTGCTGTGCCTGTGCTGCAACAGTTAGAGGTTATGTTAAATCATTAACAAATAGTTATGCCAGTAGCAATTTTTTGGTGTTGCAGACAGAACCAGGACAAGGTAAGTTTTGGAGACAGATCTCACAGAACATGTCACCATACAAAAACAACAATCTGGGCACTGATTCTTGAAAGAAATTCAACTAGTGCTTTTAGAGGATGTGGTCATGTCATGTGCAAAACCCGAGTTTGATGCGATACCTTACGCAGAAGACAGGAAGGAGCCACAATTTCAGAAGGAAACCAGAAAGCCAGGAAATCCCTAGTCATCTTGATTTGCAGAAGAACATGAATGACTCCATAAATACCCGTATTATTAATTTAACAGAAATAATTCTATCAATAACTAGCAAATCTTCCTTTTTCAAATGCTATTCTGAAAAACTCCATTGGGGTAGCTCTATATACTTCACACTATGCAAGAAATGTAGGAATATTATTTACAGAGTAAGCAGATTCTGTTGCAGTGAACATAACTAACAGTGTTTTCTGAGAGTATGAATAATACCTCATAAAATGTAAGCTGATGGTTCAAATGTTCAAATTAACTTTCAAGACCTTCCCCCCATCCTCCAGCTCATAACAAAAGCTTATTCTAGCCTCGTCCAGATCTCCAAAATCCTACCAGATGCGTTGAGTTTCTTCTGCCTCGGGGTTTTGCTACCAAGCCTGCCTTAGTAGCAAATGGCAGGCTGATTTTACTGAACAACTGTTCTTGAGTGCTTCAGTTTTATCCCTCCTGTAAGCACATCCCTCACTTCCTCCTTCAGTAGCCTTAGATTTGGGGAGGGACTCCTCATCTTGCTATATAGGTGTTAAATACATAATCCATACTGTGCACTACTTTTTCTTCTTTTAAAACTAGATGTTGTATTTGCACTTGTGTTTACCAAAACAGTTACAAAGACATTTCCTTTTAAATTTTCCGCAGATTCTGTTGTAGAAGGAATTTCATTACAGTTATTTAATATAACAGAAATAAGCAAGAGCATGTCCAGCATTGTTTATAAATCTGAATGATGTGGCTTATGCCAATGATCCATGCATTAATGAGCCCATAAGCACATATTAACATAGACCTGATAACAGATTAGTCTGTCATACCCATAAAATAAGCTCACTCCTATTCACTGAGATAATGTCTCTCAAGGAGCTCTGTTATTCTCAAAATGTAAAAGCTTCATCAGATTTTCAAACCCAAACAGCACACTTCTCTATGTTTGAAGGGGTCTGATGCTGAAGGGACGAAGTATGCGTTTATTTCCTATATTATGTAAACCATTTAAAGGTAGTTCTTAAAAATGAAATAAAATGTCTATAGCTCTGAGTAACTTCCAAATCCACCTCAAACAGTTTTATAAGTGGTTTTCTTTAACCATTCATGTGAAGATAAAGAACTTGCCACCTATATAGAAGGAAAAGGCTCTATGCCTTGTGTTACAACAAACTGAAAGTTCAGAAGGCTAGTCACAGCCTTTCTGTGTTTCAGCTTCCCTATTTGGTATAGAAGCAGAATATTGATAGGTATTTTGCTAATCCCTTAAGCTTTCAGATCATTTGCTCTCTTCTAAGACTAAACCGAACGCTGTAGGATGTCTATTTTATATATGCACACTTTTACTTTTTCAATCAGGACTATTGCAATAGCCATGTCATAGTTTTTAAAAAAAAAATGTTAACAAGATATTTAAAGAGCCTAACAAAGTAAGAAAAAAAAATGTTTACTCTGGAATAAATTAGTACATAAGACAAACTAGATTATACAAGCAGAATTACGATTGTTTCCTGCCTAAAGAGGCAGTAATACTTTAAAAAAAAAAAAAAAAAAAAAAAAAAAAAGACTGTGACCACTCAATATGAAGATTATTTCTAGCCAAACAGACACATATACATGCAGTCTACCCTGAGAGTGTTTTTAAAGAAGATTTTTATACTTCTGGCAGTTCAGGTTTAAAGGTCAGATTTAAACTATCACCATGTTTCAAAATGCAATCTGTGCAATGCAGCATAATGAAATGGTTCAGTAAAGGTGCTAGTGGAAATTCTTTTAATTAGGTCCAAGGCTTTTCAGTTGTCAACATGAATAAAGCAAGAAACATTCTATTGCAAACACAGTGTAAGAAATAAAAATGGATTCACCTTTAAGAAAATGGTTCTGCTCTAGAGTTGTAGTTTAGTAGTTCTTGCTGTCCTGAAAGCAGTTAATTTCCCACTAAGTGAAAAACAGTAACATAGGCTTCCTACTTGTGGTAACTTGTTAATGAATGGACAACAGTAGCATACACAACTAAATTACTGACAGCCTAAGATATTCATAGGCTAGTGCAAATTTATAATACTCTCAGAGCCATCAGATATGCAAGATCTCTTTGGCGCAGTACACTGCATTGCATCAGGGCTTCATTTAATAAAAACTACAAGTTGACAGAGCGAGCTTATGCTTTATTCCTTGTAATATGAAGCTCTGACTACAACTAAGACTAGAAGTGACACTTATTTGGAAATACATGAAAAATCCATAAGGGTTGCACACAAAAAAAATTACTACCCCCTCTTTGCTATTCCTTGCAACACAGACGGTGGTGTAGGAGACTTGTCAGCAGCAGATGCACTTATTGTAATCACAGTCCTTAATAAATCTCTTTTTTTAATATTGACTATTTTAAAAGGAAAGTTACTTCCCAGGGTGTTCTCATGCTGCCAGATTTTCAGCAACATATCAGAAGCAGAAGGTGAAGGAGGGACAGTTTTCACATTTTGAATAGTTAATCAGTAATGCAGTAGTACACACCTTGATTTTCTGGGACCTGATCTGAACAGTTCAGGAAGTCTGACTGCTAGCAGGTACTGCTGAGGTAAACCAGGGCAAAGAAATGACTTAATCTGATTCTGCTGGAATTGTCTCAATGCTATCCAGCTCCTTTGACACAAATGTTAACTGGAAAGACATTTCACTATAGCCTATGTTTGTTTGGATCCTAGGACCTAGTAATTAATGAATAGTTCATTCTAGGTTCCTGAGAATCAAGAGTTTAGGTAGCAACATGACTATCATGAAACTCAAGGACAACTCACAACCTGAAGCTCTAAAATAATCATAGGACTTCATGGCATTGTTTTACTTGATTAAAAAAGCTGTTCAAGGAGAGGAGAAAAACAGCTTTAAAAATTTTCTACTGGACTAATTACTTGATGGCAAATGCATCACACAGAAGATGTTTTTCCTCACTATTGAATATAGATAGATTTAATTTAGCAAAGTATATTTTGTGTCTATTCAGCAGTGCATGAATTGCTCACTGTTCACATTAAGTAGCAAAACTGGCAGAATAGTTTGACATAACAGCCGTTTATGATCATGAAACTGTTGAAGACATTTTTAGTTTCTCAGATCATAAATGCATGTATTTAGACTGAGACCAGTGGGGAGACACACTCCCAGAATCTCCCCATCCTCCCAGGGAAGGAAAAGGAGAAAAAAAAAAAAAAAAAAGAAAAAAAAAGTATAATGGATTGGCTTTAGAGTCTCCCTGCTGAGATGAACAACTTGATCCACTTACAGTTCCAAACACATGATGCATGAAAGAACTGACAGAAATTCAATTCTTGCAAAGAAGAGCAGCTGCTCTCTAGCGGTCAAAGCCAAATATTAAGCACTCTGAAGGAAAGGAAAAGACCTAGAGGAGAATACTTCACTATCTAGGTAACTAAAATAATGAAACAAAGCTAAATAAGACATAAACACTGATCCCAAACATTAATTACACAACACAACACGATTCAAGTTAAGGCTTTGTTGCGACAAATATTAATCCCAGCTGTATTTATATAGCAGTTGTGAAAAAAAATACACCGTGTACGCTATTTGTGAGCCATGCCAGTTAATTGAATTTGCTGGCAGCACTTCCTCTGCTATGCTCCAAACATCCTCCAAGATAAAATGTAGCTTTTAAATAGACCTGTGGAAAACTGAATCAAGAAATTTCAACTAATAAAACACAACTCTCTACTGTTATAAAAGTGAAGTAAAAGTAAATAATGAAAGGAAGGAAGTCTCTTAAAATTTATTACATTCCAAAGCTTGAAGTTCTGTGTTTATTGGTGAAGTCTCTTCTGATGTTCTACAGTGCGCCTACAACAGCTCCTTTAATGAAGTCTCATAAAATCTAATATAATACTTGATTGTTGACAAATCATATACATGTTTGAGGCCCCGCACTCACTGTATCCAGACATTTCTTACATAATTCCATGAAATTTACAAGTCTGTCATTCCCCGGGTTGTGGATAATGGCACGAGCGATGACCAGCTGGCAGATTTGGATGCTGGGAGTGAAATCAAAATGAAAAACTATATAAAGCCAGGAAAATTCATGGAAGTAACTTTTATAGACTAAGTGCTTGACTAAAGCCAAAATGTTCACAATCAAGATGGACCTTTCATCCAGAGCCCACTGTTTTTGAAGAATGGATCACACCACAGATCCTAGAGAAATGATGGGATGTCACAGTAGGAGGCACCAGGTATTCACCTTTACTTGAGTTTTTCCTCAAACAGACCAGCTTATACTGAGCTCCCTGCATATCAATTTTATTTCTCAACTACACATAAAAAGGTATAGATCTAACTGTCAGCACAATATTTTGAACTAGTAAAAGAAATCCAGATTTTCCCCATTCGTTTTCTCCTAAACGGTCACCTTCTAACTTAAAAATAGCTTCTTACACTCTTACTCACTTTACTGCTCTTCCCTCTCAGCTTCCTTAGTGAAGATGATAACAGCAGCAAGTAGCAAGCTGGATGTATTTTTGTCCCATTGAAGGGAAAGATCAAGTATTTATACATCATTTCTATCAAATTATTAAAAAAGAAATAAATTACCAATAAAAAGTTTGAATGAGAAAGAAAATAAGTTCCGAATTATATGCACTGAGCAGTGCTAGAAGTGAATATGAAGTAGTCCTTTCGATATCACAACTCAGGATATAAAATGCACAAAGTTCATTAAAGCTCACCTGGAAAAAGTTACAGGAAAAAAACCCACACAATTTCATTTGGAAACAAAAGTTATCTAAATTTTTATTTTTCCCCTAATGGAATGGATAAAGATGGTTTCAAATAGTAGTACTTTTTCACACCATAAAGAAAGAAGTTTGAATTTTTGTTTCCTGTTCAGACGTACCATAACCTGCGTGCTTATAATCTGTCCTTTTTACCCGTGAAAGACTAACTCTTTAGATGACCTGAAACTTGATCATGCTATTCCAAAATTGAAACTGGGTTGCTGCAGCATTTCTAGCTTATGTGAGCATTAGCTGATTTTTATTAGGAGTCTTAAAAATATGTCTGCAAATGTTCAAACAAACATTGCTTAACACTTCAAAACAGGAAAGAATTGAGGTAAAGTCATTTACTTGTAATAATGAGAGTAACACAATGAGACACCTCAGTTACAAACTGAACAGGTCAGAAGGATTTACACTTTTAAGTAACGGAATAGTTGAAAAAATCATTTCATACATACCACATCATTAGGAAGACTCTGAAGGTCATCAAAAGGGGTTTCCAGTGTGTTGGTGTCTACATTAAGAATCACTACATCTTCCAGGGCCATGTTTCTTACTTTCTAAATATGAGCAAATTCAAGAAAGGGAAAGGAAAATATAAGTATGAAGAGTTAAATCTGATGCATAAAGGACACAAGTAATGGCATAACATCATGGCATTACAAAACCTCAAGCATTTTAAAAACAACCAACATTCCTGTCTTTGTCATTGTTTGTTTTATTTAGTCACATTTTACAATGTTGAAAAATTAACTTTCAATTTGCAGAGGGAAGTTCTTAACATTGTGCATACTGAAAATTTTGAAATTAGAGAGTTACTGTTAGAGATTATTCAAACGAAGTTTTATTTCAAGCACCTCTACTACTGTTTATATTAATTCTGGTATCCTGTTTGCACATTTAGCAGTTTTTAGCCCAGTTAAGGTTTCAAGTGTATCTTTTTCTATTTAGAAATTAATTTAAATAACAATAAATAGTGGCTTTTCTAGGAGTTAAGAGTTGCAGTAAGTCAGGGATGGGAACTGGTTTCCAAATTCCAGGCTGAATTTTGGAACTCCAACAGAGACAAGTTTACAACTGTATTTAAGTAAAATGGACACGACCAGAGGTTAATAAATAAATAATTACAATGAAAAAAAGCTAAGAGAAAAACAACTCCACCATATCCTGGTTGCTTAATGTTCAGCGAGTCTAAACTTTTTACCCTCTTCCCATGAACGGAGAGAAAAAATATCTCTAATCTAGTTTGAGTGTTTACATCATCTGTAACAGTACATGGGCATACAAAAGAAAAGCATAACCTATTTCTCAAAAGAACGATCGTTAGTACCTTTGACTTTAAGTATCTGAAGTTATTGGTGATCTAAGCAAATTTAAACATTGTCAGACTTTATTTCCCTGCTTAAACAACAGTAAATTAATCACTGATATGAAAAAGAGCAGCATTTAAATATTTATTTTAACACTTTTTCCACTAACAGGAGAATTGAATTTTTTTTGTTGGTTTGTTTGTTTTGGTTTTTTGACTGACTAATCATACATATTTAAGCCCTCTTCAAATACAGCTTTGAAAACTCAAAATCAGGAAGACTGGAACTACAGAATATGGTAAATAAGGACATTTCCCAGTGACACTGTAAACAAATGTTTAAGTACCAACATACCTATACGTAGGACCAAATCCAAGTTACTGAGGAGGAAAATGAACAAAAACATACTCAATTTTTAATTAAGGTTTTGCAGGGTGGGGAGAATTGTTTCCTTTAAAAGAAAGGAACTAAAGCTCTAAAACAATGGCAAAGTTGAGCCTTAGGCATCTAAATAATTACCTTCAGTTTTCAAGGCTCAGTCCTCTGTCTATAAAGAAAACTGCTGTGTACTTGGGGGGGGGGGGGGGGGACCACCAACAATAAAAA